GGGGGACGGGACGGGACTCCCCTGGCGGTCCAGTGGTTAGGACTCCACGCTTCCACTGCAGGGGCACGGGTTCCATCCCTGGTTGGGGAACTAAGATCCTGCGTGCCACGGCGCGGTCAAAAACCCAAAAAAGACTAGGAAGGTGTCTGCGGCTCTGCTGAAGGGGGCGGGGGGCAGGGATGGGGGAGGGAGAATTAAAAGGTGGCTGGACGTGGGTCACTAGAGGGAGGGAGTGAGAAAAGTCAGAGGTGGTGAGCAGGTAGGACCCTTCAGCCCGAGACCACGGGAGAGGTACAGCGACTGGCAGTGACCAGTCCAGACTGGAGGCAAGCAGGCACTGGTGGTGAGGCCGTGGAACTGGGGGCAGAGACCTGGGGATGAGGGGTCACCTACAGAGACACCAAAACCCCTGAGAACTACAACGGAAGACGTGCTGGAGACTGAGCCACGGGCCAACGGAGGGGAGTGACCCTCAGAACCGTCTAATGCACCCATGGGTTGGGGGGAGGAGGATGTGGGACCGGACACGGACTCAGCGTGGTGCCCGTGGCACACGGGGGCCAGCGGGGGCACAGTCTATGGGGTGGGCTCCAAAGCCAGGGTGTGAGGGGCAGGCAGGGAGAGTGGCCTCAAAGCACACGTGTGCATGCAGAGGAGACACGCAGCCACCCCCAAGGCCACAGCAGAAGGGCGGAGAGGCTGCAGGAGAAGCGGCACCCTCGCTCTCGGGGAAAGCCCAGTCTCGGGACTGCTCACGGGAGGTGGAGCAGCTGGCCCTGGTCTGGCAGCCCAAGGACCGGTGGCAGTGGCTACAAGCAGCACGTAAGTCAGTGGGCATCACGAGGCAGATACAAGGGGAAACGATCGTGAAGAAAAGAGACCTAGTGTTCTGAGGTGGGAGTGAGTGAATTCCTGACCTGCGGGAGCTGGGAGTCCAACATCTGGGAGGCGCCGAGCCCAGCGGCCGGGCCAAGCTGGCCCTCGTAGACCAGGGCTTGGTTTCCACTCATGGGCTGGTAGGGCGAGCCGGACTGGGGCTTCACCATCTCTAAGGGCTGCATGCCTGGGAACGCCGAGTAGGGGGGCTTCAAGGCTGTGCCTCCGGAGAGGATCATGGTGCTGGGCGGTGACAGGCTGGGGTGCATATACACCTGAGATCTGCAAAAGCCAGACAGACGGTCGGGGCAGGTGCACGACTGCACCAGCTGATCTCACGTGTGGGCACGCCTCAGAATCCCCGCAGGGCTCGTCGCTCCAACACAGGCTGTCGGCTCACCCCCAGGGATTCTGACTCAGAAGGTCTGGGATAGGCCCTGAGAACTTGCACTTAAACAAGCTCCTAGATGGTGCTGCTGGTCTCGGGCCCACGGTTTGAGCATCACTGGATTAAACAGACAGCACGGCACAGGAGACACTGAAAGAGTGGGCCAGAGGCAGCAAGGTGCGGTGAGGCGGGAGAGCAGGGAGGGGGCCGGAGGACACGGAGAGCAAGGGCAAGGCAGGGCCACACCCCGCCCCCAGCACAGCTCACCCCACACCCGCCCCCAAGCAGGGCAGCGCAGAGCAGCAGCCGGCAAAGGGAAAAGGCCCACAGGCCGGGAAGGCGGAAAGCCCTGTTGCGAGCTGCCAGCCCCCCAAGTCCTGGCATCTCACCTGAAGGGCTGTAAGGAGCTGAAGATCTCCTGAGACTGGGAGACGGGGAGCCCGCCCCTCAGCCCGAGCTGGGCTTGAGCTTGCAGAGACGTGTGAAGGGAAATCGGGATCTGCTGGGCAGCGGCAGCCTGTGGACGGGGGGCCAGGCCATCACCGCGCTGTCCTCCAGGCTGACGCTCACCCCGGCCTCCCACCCCCGCCCGCCCTTCTCCACGGGCAGCCAATACCGCCCACGATGCAAACTCGTGTCCTGCCTGTGCTTCCTTCACTCTTGGGAGAAAGCAGAAAACTGGCAGCAATCCCAAACCAGGGCACATCCCTATACTGGATTCTGTACAGTGGTGGGAACACTGGCTACACGTATCAGCAGAGGTGGGTTTCAGAAACGGAACGGTGGATGGAAAATGTACATGAAGAATACGTGCAGTATGATCCAGTTACGCGAAGAGCAAGGTCTTGCAAGACCAAACAACGTAATACTTAAGAATATGTTATGAACAGAGATCAGGACAGGCCAAGTCCTCCATCCCCCAAACAGCACTTCATCCTGGTCCGTGCGGGCACATGGGTCGGGGGAGCTGCAGGACGATTAGGAAGGCCCAGCACCAGCTTCAGGAGGAAGACTTCCAAGAAGCACCCTCGCGGCACAGAAAGCTGCCGATTCTGCATAAAGCAAACACCTGCTCGCTTCTACAGCTACCTCTTTCTAAGGCATCCATGCCTGGGGGTCTAGGCCTTTCTTCTCTTCATCAGAAGGATACCTGATCACCAAAGAGAATTCCGTTTCAGTGAATTCCCCAGCTAGGCCACAGGAGCGCTTCGAGCAGGGAAAACTAAGCAGAGTCTGGAGCACTCAGCTCCATCCTCCTCCTCGTCTCTCGTGTACTCATCCAGTAAATACTGACTGGCTACCATACGTGCCAGGCACTGAGCGTTAACGTGAGGGGTACAAAAAATGAGACACACCACGAACAAATAAATGAAGAAGGTAGGTAATTACGCCGTGTGCTGCACCCCTTCCCCCACCCCACCGCGGGGCCACCTGGCTCGCCGTCATCACCTGTTGGTAACTCTGCTGCTGAGGTATCGTCTGAGGAACCAGCCGGGGCTGACTTGCAAACACATGGCCGTCCAGGTAGAGAGGTGGCAGGTGGTTGCCTGGAAACAGAATCCAAGGGGGTGAAACAGGATCAAGCCTCACTGTTCCAGAAGGTGCTGGGAATCAGTGGGAGGAGGGAGTGTGTGCACTGCTGACCCTGTGCTCCTGCGTGGCCCGGGGCCCAGGAAGAGGGGCTGGCTGCAGCCTGCCCTTCCCACCTCACCCATTCACCCACTGCCCCGCACACGGGGGCCAGGGGGGTTCGTTATAAAGGAAGGCTGCCTGGGTCTCTCAGTCGCCTTCCTCTTCATCTCCCTGCTATTGAGTCCACAGTGGAGGGTCAGAAGGATCTATTGGAATTGCATCACTGAGACTTTGGCAGCCAGGCCCTCAAAAACCCCCACAGGCTCCCTTGGGGCACCAACACAGTGATGAGGATGCTGATAGGATAAAATTGGGCTCAGCTGATACAAAGTACTTCCCAGACGTGCGCTCGTCTCATTGGCGTGGCGACCCCACCCAGGGCCACCATCACCCTGTGTGATGTCGCGGAGGAGGGGGCACAGCTCAGAGAGCTGCTCATGCGGCACGGTTTGACCCAAAGCCAAGTCTCTGATCAGTCCCCTCTCCAGGAGATGGAAAAGCCTCACCAAAGTCGCACGGTCCTGCTTCCCAGCCCAGGAAGCAGGTGACCCTCAGCCTAGAACGCGCCCCCCTCTACACACTCCTTAAGTCAAGGCGGGGGTGGTACTCAGGGCTGAGAATCCAGCCTTTCTCTCGAGTGAATGGAGAAGGCTCCCTGAGCTGGCGCACGGGGGAGATACCTGGAAGAGACGCAGAAGGTGCGACCGAGGCCACGGGCATGGGGGGCATGGAGACCCCACCGAAGGAGCTGTAGCTGACCCCGCTGGAGGCTCCCCCGGAGGACGGGGGCTGCAGGCCCGAGCCAGTGCCTCCTGGAGAGCTCTGCTCCGGCAAACTGGGCGAGTTTTCCCAAGCCTTGCGCGCAGACTCCATCTTCAGAAGCAAGGAGGTGGGGGAGATGAAAATTACCGTCCGGGAGGCAGCGGACAGCACAAGTTAAGCCCGGGGAGGTGGGCGGGGCCGCCCGCTCCTGCCCCTTCACAAGCCAAGGCACCGGTGGCCCCGCCTTGCTCGGGGCCAGTGTTACCTTCAGAGTGAGGTCAGCGGTGGGGAAGGACATCTGGGAGAGGCCGATGGCCCTCTGGATGTGATGATCGCGCCGGAGGATGGGAATACTCTGTGCCAACCCAGCCTGAAGGGGAAGGAGACCACGGGACACTGACAGGCCCAGAGAAAGCGAGACGATGTGTCCAAACACGCCTTCCGCTTTGGTCGTGTGCACTCGAGACCCCTCCAAATGGCTGCCTCCACCGATTCTCTCGAAAGAAGGCCGTGGAGAGCCACCCTCATCCCCGCACCCCAAGCCCTCCAGCAGGGCCGCCGTGATTTGGCAACATAAACACGGCTGGCCGCCAGTACGCAGGCACCACTACATGGCATGGAGATACCAGGTCCTGTCTCAGCCCCCTCCCCCAAAACTGTGAAAAAGAGGTCCTGGTAACACATGTTCGGAAATGCAACTGCTAGGCCCTCCTCCTGCAGTGCCCAGCACCCACCGGCACGATACAAGGATTCTGAGAAACCTCAGAGTAAAGAAACCTGTTTAGCGCAGCATTCCCAAACACGTGCGACCACAGAACCTGGGAGGCTTTAAATCACAAAGTGCCAAATAAACCAGACCTTAGGAGTTACACGATCCCATTTTAAGTTCACAAAACCAGAGCGTGGAACAACTTGCTCAAGGACGTGTAACTAGCTAGAGACACAGCATCAGGACTCAAACCACGTCCGCCCGACCCCAGAGCCATGGCTGGGTCGCCCCCTCTGGTTTCGGAACACCTCACGAGGCTCTTTTCGCCCAGGGCCTGCTGGCACGGGGACGACAGAGCTGGAGGTGGAAGCACAGACTTACATTACTGGCCAATGCGTCCTGAAGTTTGACAACTGGATTCCCCACGGGACCAGAGGCAGAGCCGGGCTGCAAGCTGAAATCAGAGTCCTGGAAAAAAAAAGGGAACAAAGGCCACAGAAATCATCGTGGCTCACCTTCTGTCAGAGACCCACTTTAATGGAATCCACAGTCTCAGCAACTCAAAAACCCACTAAGCAGCATTCACCACATGAGCAAGATGGCCAGATGTTTCCCGAAGGCCCCGAGAAAGGAGGCCACCCCCTTCTCTCTGCCCGGCTCCCTGCTCGACCTGAGAACCTGCCTGGTGTCAGCAGGGAGACAGAGAACATAGCTCACAGCACCTCTTCACGTGCAAAGCCACCCGCCACGCTCCCCTGGAGCACTGCACTGGCCCATGTGGGCAGGTAGAAGAAAACAAATCAAAGCCTCACCTTTGGATTGACTCCAAATTCAATGGGTGGCACTGGCAGCACAGAGTCCACGTGAATCTCCACCCCATTGACAGGGGGGACCACAGCCCCTTGCAGCCGCTCAGCCCCCTCGGAGCCCTTTCTGTTTTTCAGAGACCGCTCATTGCCGATGGGTCCTGGTCTGTGCTCCTTGCTCTGTCCCGAGCCTTGTTCGGAATCCTTGATGGAAAAGCAGAGAAGCTGAGACGCACAGCCTGGAAATGACCCTGATCTCCAGCTTCCAAGGGACCGGGAGTCAGTCGGGGAAGAAGACAAAAGATACCCTTGCGCCCCGCCCGGCCCCTGAGGGCCAGACTCCCAGGTTACCTTCGGCTCCGACTGCTTCTGAGTCTGCTCCTTGTGGCCATCGGCCTTGGGCTCCAGGCCAGGCCCGCTCGCCTCCTCGGGTTTCAGAGTGCCGTACGGGGAGCTGCGCTGCGAGGAGGTCGCCGAGGACTCCCGAGACTCGGCGCTCAGGTCAACGCCACTGTCTCCCTGGCTGCTCTTAAAGCCCTGCTGTGCAGGACACAGGAGGGTCAGAGCCCATCCCCTCTCCGCCTGCCTGCAGAGTGAGGCTGGGCGGCTCAACACGTCTCCCGGCCCAAGCCCACGTTCACAGGTATGTGTGGGCCCTGGACGGAGACCACAAACCCGCTGTGCTTGTGACCACCGCCAGATGCCGAGGAGAGGCCCTCACGCCGCCTACCCAGGGTGGGTGCCGCTCCCTGGCCATCCCAGCTCTTCCTCCCTCCCACACAGGCCCCTCCCGCAGACCCGAAAGTAAGACTGCAGACCAGTGACGAGCCAGGCTCACTGCCCGGCCAGGGAGAGCACAGGCGGGCCTCTGGGACAGCGGCGGACATAAGCACACCCCTGGCGCCCGGCGGCCACTCACCTCGGCAGAGCCGGGCTCGGTGCTGGCAAAGGCAGTGGCGGCTTTGGCCCAGGAGTCGCCGGTTGAGGCCTGAATGGGGAGGGCTGCTAGGGAGGAAGACAGAGAGTCAGGACGTCGAAGAGGAACAACCAAGCCAGAAAAACAAGCACAAGTGCAGCTCACACAAACCCAAGTCTCTGAGCCGCCCCCGCTCCCACCGTAATCGACCCATTAGCGAAAGAGGAGCTGGTCTGATACCTTCACCCGACTTTCCAACATCCTCAGGCGGATCTCTGTAAACGTGCTTCCTGTGATTTCACTGACAATGTGCTCTACTAAACACACCAGCAACTTTTCACTCACACCGGTTACAATGCTCTATCGCTACCTCTGCTGCGGTGAAGCTTTCTGCACATAAACCACTTATTTCTACAACACGTTGGCACCTCTACAAGTCTCTGAAAAATTGAAGCTGATGCTACTCAGCTTCTGTCAGCTCACAGACCACCCTGAGAACCCAGCAAAAGCCATGGACCCTGTGTGTGCACGTGAAATCTCACATATGCTCTTTTTAAGATCCAGGGGCCCTCTGAAGTCACCCACAGACCCCTGGTCTGAGCAACCAATGAGATGCTGCAGAATCCTGGAGGGAGAGCGTGACTCCAGAGTTAGCCCACTCTGCTTGACCAACACGGCGGGTAAGTACTTTTGGACATTTATACCATGACACCCACCACTCTCATAACCAAACTGACCGATCAAAATTTTATTAAAAATTATCGTACTTTCAGTCAGAGTTGACTATTTCCCAATGTTATTTTGCACTGTGCTGGAACCAAGCTTTTAACCAGGAACATGAAGATAGGCCATGAGGTAAAACTGAAAGAATCAGGTCCAGAACCTAGGCTCTTGGGTGTTTGTCACATGGCTCTGGGGTTGTCACTTCACTCTGGAAGCCTCGACTGCTTGGAATAAAAGAGCTGGAAATGGATGACTTCTCCGAGCTCCCCCTGTATACCCTGCAGGGCCCTGCCGAAAGCAGGCGTGCAAGAAGAATCTGCTCAATTAAAAGGGTTTTGTATTTTAAAATGAAAAATCACCAGAAAAACAGCACCGGGTAAGAAATTTTTTCAGGGAAACAAATTTTCCAAAAGGTAAGGGCCACCCTAGTCTGGTTTCAAACCTAAGACAGCATTTGGGCAGGAGCTGACAGAAACTTCCTTCTGCTGAGGGAAGAGCACACAGCACAGACAGGAAAGCTTCTGGACTCCTGTTCTCCTGATCAGTCGTCTGCTGCTCTTCCTCAAGGGAAAAAGGAAGGATAGCCGGTGTGGGCAGAGTCAAGCCAACTCCGCGAGTGACCTCAGCTGGGCGGGGGTGGGGGCCATCCTTTCCCATCACTGCGTATGGAATGCTCTCCTCTCCACCAAATTGCAGGCAGGGAAAATCTGACATCTGTTCAGAGGCTGCAGCAGCACGAGGTGCTAAGATGGCATCCAACGCCCTGACTCAGCAGAGGAAGCCAGGAAACAGGTAATGCTCCGTCTGTGTTCACGGCCCCAAAGCAGGATGCTCCCTAATAAGAGGCCCCAAGCCTGTGAGGCGGCCGTGGGCCAAGCGGCTGGGCCCAGACCCCGAGCTCTTACCCTGGCCGCTGCTCTCCCAGATCTCGGTGCCCAAGCTACTGCCAGGCACAGCTCCATCACCTTGCTCCAGACACAGGTGGTTCTGCTTTTTCGCAAACCGAGGAGGAATACGAGAGGAAAGACTTCGGCCTTTGACAGGTACCTAAGGAGAAGAAAGGTGATGCAGTCCGGCCTCGACCTCAGACGTGAAGGATAACGAGCTCTCCCCAGGAAGACTATCCCAGGCACCAGAACCACACCCCCGGAAACTGCTCCAGTGACGCTTCAGCCAGCGGCGCTACAGCCAGACCTCAGTGTCAGCCAAGACCTCGACCACGTGGGAACTGCAGTGCCGACCAAACCGCTCCCGGAAGCGACCAGTGGGCTGTGACCTGGGACTGCGGGGCAAGTGAGCAGTGCTCAGCCCCGACTCCGTTTCGAGTACAGAGTCGCCAACCCTCGTGACTCCCAGGGTGATGAGTCTCGTCCCACTCAGGCCGGAGCACAGTGGGAGGAGGATGGACTTCGGGGCTGATGGAGGCCTGCGTCCTGCTCGGCCCTCTTTCGGCGGGTGTCACCCCGGACCAGTCCCCCTCTCGGACAGCAGGGGTAACACCATTTGCTGCCGTGGAGCCACGGGGATAGCGGGCCCTGGGAGGCAGTGCATGTTTAATAAACATGCCTTCTTCCTGTCCTGTCTTGGGCCTGATTCAGAAGCCCCGTCCATCCCGGCCCCGCCCACGCCTCGCGCCCCGACCTGCACGGCTGGCTCCTTCCTTCTCCTCTCTTCCTCCAGCACACGGCGCTGCTTCTTGGTCAGGACTTCGATGAAGCCTTCCCCCACCACAGAGCCCACCTCACCCTCCTCTCCGGGGCTGGATCCGCAGTTTTCAACGCCGGCATCTGAACCAAGATTCACAAGGAAAGACAGTGAGTGGTTCCATTTACTGGGAGCCAAGAATAACCCAACCCTACAGACACCTGATATCTAAGGCCAGGCTCTTAGCTGGCTTGGGCCTCAGCATATTCACCAGGGTCTAGGAAACCCAGCTATGATTTCTACACCCTTCTCACGGCCCCTCTAACACAGTGTTACCTCAAATCAAAGAGGCTACAGTTAAGAAAACGGTCTTCGGAGACAGACATACTTAAGTCCCGGCTCCGCTCCTAACCAGCTGTGTGACCTTGCACAAACCACTCAACTTCTCTGGGCCTCAGCTTCCCCATCTTTAAAGCTGGGACACTGCAGGGCTGCTATGGGGGTTCAGCAAGGTTGTGAGTGACATGAAGGCAGGAATCCTTTCTGTTTTGCTCTTAACCCAGCACGTGCCCAGAAGCTAAGATATTCAGTGAAAGGGCAAACTCGGCAACCCAGAGAGGTGGCCACGGCTCCCCATTTGGCCCGGATTCTTCTTCCCCCGAAGATGTGAGGTGACACTCACTTCCATAGTTCAGGTCAAACGGTTTCATGGTCTCTCCCTGGTCGCCTGCCCTCTGGGCAGCCAGTTGGGCCTCCTTCTCTGCCTTCTCACAGGAGGCTTCAGGGATGTCAGAGGTGGCATGGGCTGCCCGCTCCAGCGTGTAGTGGCCACTCCCACTGCTGCAGCCAAGACCTCCAGGCAAGGTGTCATCCGGGGACCTATAAAGGAAGGAGGATCTCGTTAGCTCAGAAGTGACCAGAGACTGGGGAAGGAGAGAGAAGGAAAAACTGCACATGCACGCACAGCACGCACAGCACGCACACAAGCACAGCGCCCTGATCTTTGTCACTGCCTCTCAGCGTCCCCTCCGCTCAGCAGAAGCCGCTTGCTGGCGGTAGCGGGCTCTGCAAGCCCGTGTGGAGGCTGCCCCAGCACCACTGCTACGGCAGAGCCCATGGGAAAACTGCTCTCTCCCCAGCCCCTTCCCAGGGCTGATACTTCTGTCCTTCCCCACTGTGTGCCAAACCCAGTAGGGCTACAGAAAGGAGAGGGAGAAGGGGGAATGCTTAGAAAGGGGCTGCAGAACTTTCTGCTCCTCTCCTAAGACTGACCAGAGAGGAGCCCAGGCCTCGCCCTACCGCCAGCCCAGCTACTGGGGCAGAAATCAGAAGCAAAGCCAAGTCTTGGCATCTGGGGCCTAGAAAGCTAGTCTAGATGGACACCTAAAAGAACCCGCATTCTTCTGTGCTTCCTTCTTTGGGGGTGTGGGTTAATTACAGGCCAGGCTTCGGTGCCCTGAATTCTAAGGAGGCTGGGAGGTGGGAAGCAGTCTTCCTCAGCACGCTGGGGCGTGGCCTGTGCACGATGAGGAGTGCAGGCTGCACAGCGTCTGCCCCTGCCCTGATTCCGGGCCAGGCTTGGGCACTGAGCCAACACCGAGCACCGATCATCACCGCCCACCAAAGCCTCTAATTCTAAACGAGACGTGCTCACCAGGCCTCGGGCAGCTCACTCCCCTTGCTTACCGCCTGGCTCTCACCAGGCCTCGGGCAGCTCACTCCCCTTGCTTACCGCCTGGCTCTCACCAGGCCTCGGGCAGCTCACTCCCTCTGCTTACCGCCTGGCTCTCACCAGGCCGAGGTGGCAAAGCCCCAAAGCGGCGCTGCTTCTCTTCACCGTCGAGAAGCAAAGCCACTCAGGGAAGAGCGATCTCTGCGGGGGCCAGGAGGCCAGCACTGCCCGACATGTTCCTGGAGGACGCCGCCTGGCAGCAGCCGGGAGCCAAAGAGTCTGGTGGACTGACCGGTACTCAGGAGGCGCCGTGAACAGGGAGCGCCCCTCTGTGGCGGTGGCCCCTCGGCTGGACTCCGAGGAGACACATGGGGGCTGAGCTCGTGAGACAGGGACTGGGATGGGCACCACGACCACAGGGGGACCGGCGGGGCAGGGGCTCTAGGCTTAGCTCTGAAGCCACAGCAGCAGCAGCAGCAGCACGCCACAAGAGAAGCAGACAGCAGTGCGAGAGCCAGTAATGGAGACGCTCACGGACAATGGCCTCGGCGGGCGGGCGCCCTCCTGGAGCACATCGAGGGGGAAGGAGTCGGGGCCCTGACACACGGTGGGACACGCATGCATGAAGTGCCGCTGGGACAACCGGCTAACAGAACGACAGCAACAAAAAAGAACCCGGGACTCTGTTTCCGGTTTACCTTTTGGCTTTCAAAGGCGTCCCACTCTGATGGCTCTCATAACGGGGAGAAGTCTCACCGCCACCTGGCCTAACAGGCGTCTCCCCGAACCCTCCCGGCTCCAGCTTCCGGCTCTGTCTGTCAGCGAGGGGTCTCTGGCCGGAGAAGCTCCGCTTGGCCAGCTCCTTCTTCTCGCCCGCGCTCACCCCGGGCAGGCCGTCGGCCTGGGGGTCGGGCTCGGGCCCGGGCCCGTCCCGCCTCTCCCGCCTCTCGCTGAAGTCGCTGCTCTCGGAGGCCGTCTCCCACTCCTCGTTGGCGTGGTCCGAGGAGTTCTGGTAGGCGAGCTCGGGGGACCTGCGGCCCGTGGTGCCGCTCCTGGCCCCGGGACAGGGTCTGGGCCGGCCCGGCCACTGGCCCGCCGGCAGGGGCTGCTCACCCTCCGGCCCCCACAGGCCCAGGGCCTCCCGCTCCTGCCGAAGGCGCCGGAAGCGGGGGGGCTTGTCCTGGCGCGGGGGCCGTCTTCTCCTGAAGGGCCGGTTCTCGGCATTTTCGGAATCTGCTGCGTGGTCATCTTGGAAGAAGGCCCTCTTGTCCTCCACACGGCCATCCTCGAAGCCCCGGGTGCCCAAGGCGTCGGGGTGTCTGTAGGGATCCGGGATGTAGTCTCTGTCTGAGGGCCGCCGGGCCCCGCACGTGTCGGGGGGGCCGGACTCTTGCCAGGAGGCGCCCAGACCCCGGCTCGGCCAGGGGGCCGCTTCCTTGGCCGCGAAGGTTCTCCGGCCATATGCGCAGTTGCTCAGCCGCGGGGGGAGGGCGCGCCCGAAGGCCCGCGGGCCTCGGTTCTTGGCCTCTGGCCCACCGTGGTCCTCGGGGCACATCCTGCCGGACCTCCAGGACTCCCTGAAGTCACCCTTCCTCCCGGCGGCCTCCTCCCTCTCCGGGAGCGCGCCCTCATCCCCAGTCTCGGCGCCCCGCTGCCGCCGCCGCTTGGGAAGCTCCTCGTACTCAGAGCCCTCGCTGTGGGTCTCGCTGGCAATCCTCCGCCGGGGCTTGGCCCGGGGGAAGTCGTCTGCCAGCCCGAACTCTCGCGGTCCCCGGCCGCGGCTGCTTCTCTGGCTGCCGCCGTAGAGGCCTCGCGCCCCAAGGACGCCCCCACCACAGAGGCCGCCGCCCACGGGCCGCCCTCGGAAAGTGAACTCTCGGAACCCGCGGCCGCGGCCCCGGGCCTGCCCCCGGCCCCCAAAGGCCTGCTCCTCATCAATGAAGATCCAGTTATTCCTCCTGGTAGGGGGGGTGTGGCTGGCTGCCCGGGCCCCGTCGGGCTGGCCGTCCTCCTCCGGCCGGCTGGCCTCGCGGCCCAAGGCAGCACGGGCCGAGCCCTGGTCCTCCGAGGCGGCCGGGGCCACGCTGGCCAGCGCGGGGGCGTTCTCTTGGTCCTGGTCCTCGGCCGCCTCGCAAACGGGCCCCGTCTCCCGAGCCAGGCGGGCGCTCCCCTCTCCCAGCTCCGGCTTCACCTTGTCGAGCTCCTTCTCCTTGTCTTCCACCTTGAGGGCCTTCAGGACGGGCTTCTTGATGGGGCCGGACCTCCGGGTCCTGCTGGTCTGCTCCGCGTGCTGGCTGCCGGCGCCTCGGGCTTCTGGTGTCCACTCGGGCTCCAGGGCCGGCTGTTTGCCGGGGCTCCCTTCCTTCTCCCAGGAGGAGACACTGAAGGACAGCCCCTCCTGGGGCGCCTCTTTCTCAACCCTGGTGTCTGGGTTGGCGGCCTTCGGCTGGCGGCTCACGTCCCAATCGCTATACTCTGGTTTTTTCTCAGCCGGGGCAAAGTCGGGCTCCAGTGTGGAACACCTGAGGTTTGGGGTGTGACTCCCAGGCGCGCCTGCTTCCTGAACATTTTCTCGGGGTGGAAACAAAAGCTCCTGGCCTATTCTTTGAGAAGAGACACAGCTGTCAAAGTCTGCTGGGGCCTTCTTGTCAAAAGCACTCAAGTACTCCTCCCCTCTCTCCTCAAGGAGATCGCGCCGGGCACTTATGCCCCCTGACCTTCCAGGTGAGGCAGAGTAAGAGCTTTCATTCCTGAAAAGGAACCAGAAAAATCAGTCAATGTGATTGGAGCCTGGTTCCTGGGTTCCATGCTGAACACAGTTTAGTTTTAAAAAGAAAAAAATTTTTTAAAAAAAGAAAAAGAAAAAAACATAGGCACCAACATTCGTTCTATCTTTAAACAGGTCTCAGAGATGCTGGGCCATGGGCTGGTGGCGGCCCCTGGAGTGAAGGAGTCAGTGGCTGGTGGACTCAGCGAGCAGCCGGGGATCCTCTGGTTCACACAAGCTGGAGCCGGGGCATCCGTGGAGAGGCTGGGGGGGGGGGGCCGCACAGCCCCCTGGAGTGAAGGAGTCAGTGGCTGGTGGACTCAGCGAGCAGCCGGGGATCCTCTGGTTCACACAAGCTGGAGCCGGGGCATCCGTGGAGAGGCTGGGGCGCTGGGCCAGCACAGCCAGCTTGCCTTTACTTTCACAGGAAGGAGCCACGACACACGCACTCAACTCCGCCTTCCCTGTGAGGCCCCCACCCCTCGGCCCTGCCCAAGGTTCCGCGGGATTTGCCTCTGACGCCAGGATCTCTCCCGGGCCCTCAGTTGCCATCAGCGCCTCTCACACAAATGCATCCGGCCATCCTTATCTCACTCTCCTTCCCCAGGGGGCACCACCTCCTGCGACAGGGCCTCTTCCCAGAGCCCTCTCTCAGTGAGGACCTGAAGACCCCTTCTTCAGTTCCAGGTCAGTAGGACCAAGTTTCACCTCACCTGACATGCACGTCCATGGCCAAAGTGTCACTGGATTTCGGGTGGGGGAGCGAGTAGCCCTTGCTCTGCAACGCCATGTAACCCTCGGGGCTCCACACGGGGGCTGCATCGATGGCGGTCACTTTCCTCTCTGGCAGTGGGGGCACACAGCTCTGATCCTCAGAGCGACAGCCAGTTCCACTGAGAGAATCCTGGGCCATCATGGGTTTCATCAATCCTGAAGAAGCCAAAGAGCCGAGCAGTCACCTCGCTTAGCAAGCCATGGGTCAACCACAGGCCCAAGGGAGACAAGCTGCCCCAACTCTCACATGGACCCCACCTGTTTAACATCACTGAGGTCCCATCTTTCTGATCACAGAACCTCTGAAGACACACACACATGCTATCTGAAAGGCCTGTTCAAACACCTGTAAGGTCCAATGCTAGTTCCTGGATGAAGAACCCCTGTGTTGAAGGCTATAAAAAACTGGCAAATGGGGCTTCCTTGGTGGCGCAGTGGTTGAGAGTCCTCCCGCCGATGCAGGGGACGTGGGTTCGTGCCCTGGTCTGGGAAGATCCCACATGCCGCGGAGCGGCTGGGCCCGTGAGCCACGGCCGCTGAGCCTGCGCTCCGCAATGGGAGAGGCCACAACACAGTGAGAGGCCCACGTACAGCAAAAAAAAAAACCCAAACAAACAAACAAAAAAACAAACTGGCAAATGGAAACTGGAACCATCAAACGGGAGAGCTCATGGGTGTCAGCGGAACACTAGGGGGGCCAGTCAGTCAGCAATGCAAGATGCCTGAAGGTCTTTCCGCACAGACACAAGGAAGATGAGCTACGCTCCAGGGAGCCTACATGCAACAAGGAGCCAGAGTCTACCTGCTTCCAATCCCCTGCAAGAAGATTCAGAAAAGGACTGGGGTTTTAGCTCCTTTTATTTCTACCCCTAAGTTCGACAGTAACACTCCACATTTTGTACGTGGAAGGGCAGTGGGGGGTACACAAATGACACTAAACTGTTAGCTGGCCCGAGGAGACTGGGACATGCTGATGTCTCGGTCCTACCAGATATAAACCAGTCAGGGAAATGGCACCCCCGCCCTCCCCGGGCCCCTCTGTCCACGTCTATCAAACAAGGGGGCTGGGCTGCTGCAGACGACATTAAAGGTCTCTCACTGGGCCAGATTCTGTGGAGAAAAGAAGATCTGATTTTTCAAATACTTCACAAAGCTAATTATTGGCCCCCAGTGTTTTTCTGCCCGTCTTTTGAGATAATCTGACCAGGAAAATGGTTCTGCATTAGACCAACGGCTTTAACCTTTCTTTTAGCTGTGGAGTGCTCTGTTCTAATGCTATCAATATATGACTCCAGTACAAAGTTAGGCTGAGTCAGGTGATGGTGGGGACCCTCTCTGGAATCCTAGAATTACACACCATTTATTAAGTACTGATTACAAGGTGTGCGGAACTGCTCCACACTGTACATGGACCTATTTTTGGCAATATGGCAGCTCATATTACCTGAAAAAACCTCCTGTCACAAAAATGCTGGACAAAACACATGAAACATTTCACTCGGAGAGCTCTGTCCCCCCAAAAGCGGGAAACCCCCAGGGAGCTGAAACCACAGCCACGGCCAAAGCCACAAGCTGGTGCTCCCTAGAGGGGAGCCAGGGACACATCCTTCAGATTTAGTAACCTACGGGTATGCTCCTAAATGCCCCCCAGGACAGGAGACGGGGCTTTTCCACACAAGGCAGAGAGCTGCAGCTGAGATGCTGCTTAAACAAAGGCCCTCAAAGGGCTATGCCCTCAATTAAAAGGTGCATCAGAAAAATATATGCTCTTTAAGTACAGGGAGATGACTGAATTTGTGTCTTGGCCTGGGCTAGGGGAGGGAAAACCGTCCTCCGTGAGGACTGTTTCATAGCCACATGCCAGCTTTCATGCAGGTCTGGGGGCAGGAGGGTGAAGTTCAGATTTATACCCCTAGAATGCTCCAGAAACTTCCTGAGTTAAAATAAAGGGTAGTTCTAGGCTGGCGGAAGAAAACATAAAACCACACTGGAGGGATATACCCTCAAACCAAGCTATACTAGATCCCCACGATAAATAAAGCTCTGCTGAAAATGAACGCACAATCCAAAATTACCAGAACACTGTGTGGAAAACAATCCACTATGAGTCCATGGTAAGCCCATGGGATTATATACCTTCCTCAAGAACTTCAGGTAACAAATTAAAATGTGAAGCACTAGAAAATTATGTTTTAAATGATTACAAGCATAAAGGAAGGAATTAAAAACTTACGAAAAATATAAGACACAAGAAAAAAATGACAGATTTGAGGAAAAAATTCTGGTAATAGAAATACAGAGTCACTGAAATTAAAAACTCACTGGACAGTTAAAAAAAAAAAAAAAAAAGCAGATCAGACACAGTCGGAGAGAAAAGAGAACTGGAAAATAGTTGAAGGATTTTCCCAGAAGGCACCACAGAGGTTAGCTCTCTTATATATTTAAGAGACTTGGAAGGCAGAATGAGAAAGCACAAAATAATCTAAGTGGGCGACCTAGGAAGAAAGGATATAAAGAATGAGGAAAAAGCAACATCTGACATGATAATTAGAAGAGAATTTTCCAGAAATGATGAAAGACATACATCTTCAGATTCGAGCACAGTGAGTTCTAAGCAGAATAAGGTAAGGATAGATATAGATATATACCTAGACACAGCATACTGAGAAGGAACTACAGGAGACCAAAGACAAAGAGAAGATCTTAAAAGCAGCCAGAAAGAAAACAGTAGATTACCCAGACACGAATCAGACACATGAGCCAGAAAACAAGGAATACTATCTTCACAGTACTAAAAGAAAGTAACTGCCAACCTCGAGTTCTATACCCAGCTACACTATCATTCAAGAGAAAGAGTGACATCAAGACTTTCTCATGTGAAGACTATCTACTGCCAAAACAACTTTCCTGAAGACCTGGACAGAATGTACTTCATGAAGAAATAAATGGAACCCAGATGGAAGGATAAGCAGCAAAGAAACCAGTAAACACCCAGGCAAATCTGAACAAGAACAGGTCAAATAAAACAACAAATAATACCTGATTTGGTGGGCATTAAAAAAGGTGGAACTAAAATTCCAGGCAAAAATAACAAGACTGATGAGGAGGTAGTTAGAGCTCAGGTTCAGGGTAAAGATACTGATTAGCTTTTGCTAAGTCAAGGGTGCATGTTAGAATTTAATGCAACCATTCACACAGCAGAAATAGAATGTAGAAGGAAAATAAACAAAAAGAATAGGAAAACATATCACCAAAAAAAGAAGAAAAAGAAAGGCATAGAAAAGAGGGATAAACAGCATAAAATAGGAGAGTAGGAAATCTGAATATAATAATCCCAATAAATCTAAAGGGAACAACTTCGGCAACTGAAGTCACAGAGCTTCAAAGTGGGTAAAACCATACACATCTTACACGTACAAAGATATTCTCCTCCAAAAAGGGCTCAGAGAGGCCTGACGGTAAAAAGTTGGGGGAAAGATACCACATGAATACTAATCGAAAGAAAACTGGAATAAAATGATTACCAGGTAGAGTAGACATTAAAGGTAGAAAGCACAACTAATGATAACAAAGGTGCTGTAAGAAGATAAAAGGAACAAGATGAAGTACGGCTTCCAGACAGATAAAGCAAAAACTGCCAGGTTTACAAGATTTGACAAAATCCACATCATGGTGGGAAATGTTCATACACCTCTTAGTAACTGATCAAGGGGATAAAACATTGTGATGATACAGACATTTGTACCGCACAATTAGCAAGCCCGATGTAATGGACCACGTCCAATTGGAGAATACATTCTTCTCAAGCCCTTGAGTGAAATTCGACCTGCCACTTCTTTTAAAAATAAAGTTCTACTGGAAAGCAAACACACCCATTCACTCACTATTGTCTACAGCTGCTTTTGCTCTACAACAGCAAAACTGAGTAGCAGTTCAAAGCCTAAAATATTTATTATCTGGCATTAATAGAAAAAGTTTGTGACCGCTGGTCTATATCATACAGGCCATGTTATCTGACCACGAGGCAGCCACGTTAGAAATTAACACCATAAAGATGGTATTAAAACTTTACATTTGGAAATTTTACAACATGCCATAAAAAAAATCACTCAAAAAAGATAAAATCAGACTAACATTTAGAACTGTACAATAATAAAAATGTATCTTAAAACTCATAGAGGCTCATAGCTCAGGTGAGACTTAAATACATGAGAAAAGTCAGAAACTAATGAGCTCATCAACATAATCAGTTAGAAAAAGAACAAAATACTTTCAATGGAAATAATGAGGGGGAAAAGAAAGCAGAAGTTAATGAAATAAAAACCAAATAAAATACAGGAATTAAAAGATGCTTTTTAAAAGTAGCTTTAAGGGTTTCCCTGGTGGCGCAGCGGTTGAGAGTCCTCCTGCCGATGCAGAGGACGCGCAGGTTTGTGTCCCGGTCCGGGAAGATCCCACATGCCGCGGAGCGGCTGGGCCCGTGAGCCATGGCCGCTGAGCGTGCGCGTCTGGAGCCTGTGCTCCACAACGGGAGAGGCCACAACAGTGAGAGGCCCGCGTACCGCAAAAAAAAAAAAAAATTAGAAAAATAAAATAAAAAATAAATTCAGTTTATTTAAAAAGAAAAAAACAGCATTAAAAAAATGGCATTAGGACTTCCCCGGTGGCAGAGTGGTTAAGAATCCGCCTGCCAATTCAGGGGACACGGGTTCGAGCCCTGGTCCGGGAAGATCCCACATGCTGCGGAGCAACTAAGCCTGTGCACCACAACTACTGAGCCCACACGCCACAACTACTGAAGCCCGTGTGCCACAACTACTGAGCCTGCACTCTAGAGCCCGCAAACCACAACTACTTGAAGCCTGCGCACCTAGAGCCCGCAACAAGAGAAGCCACGGCAGTGAGAAGGTGCACACCACAACAAAGAGTACCCCTGCTCGCCGCCAACTAGAGAAAGCCTGCACGCAGCAACGAACACACTATGCAGCCAAAAATAAATAAATTAATTATTTTTAAAAAAGGGCATTAGACAAACCTTGGGAAAGACTAATCAAGGAAAATAAGAGAGAAAACACAAAGAACATTAAAGAATGGAAAGACGGACAAAACAACATGGCAGAGATATAAAAATTAATTAAAGCAATTTACAATGCAGAACCTTAAGGTCTCTTCCTGACGATTCTTTGTGCGAGGTACTACCATACCCTCATTTTGGGAAGTAAAACTCAAGACTGGATATGTGACTTGCAAAGAGGTCAGACTGGAATCCAGGTGGGTCTGTCTACCTCCCCAGGCAATACCCTTAAACACCACCCTGTCCTGAGTTCCACAGGGATGGCCCACTGGACCAGGGTGCTTACCCGAGGGATGTAGGGCTGAGGGATAGAAATCCACTGGGGTCCGAGTGGGTGGGATTCGTGGGTCCATGTAGGAAGGCATCATCATCCACCTGGGGTCGAAGCCCAGCATCTGAGGGTGGTGCGGGTAGAAGGTACGCTGCGGGTGGGGCGGCGGAGGGCACACCGGCTGCCAGTGCTGCATCCTGTACAGCTGCTCCTGACCAGGGAGAGACACCCGGCTGGGCAGGTGCTGCGGGGCAGAGAGGCAGTGCGTGCATGCGCACACACACTCTTCCAGCTTTCCATCAGGTAGCAGAGACAACCCACCCAGAACAGAAGACCACAGAGGGGAGGCCCCAGGGGCATTACAGCATTCAGGCTCTGGCTCTCTCCCAGGACTGACGGACAGTTGCGCCATCATCACAACTGGGCCCTTAGGCTCCTCTGCAGGCTGGGCTTTCATGTAAATCAAACACTCTCCTGGAGCTGACATGTGACCGGCACAGCTCCCAGGGCATATCTCCCTATCGGCACTGCCACCAGACGACACTCCTCCGCCTCCCCTCCTTCTGCCCCTTCAATCCACCCTCCTCACTCCGACGCCCTGACCACGTCAGGAGCCTTCAAGGGTCCTCCACAGCTCTGCCTCTAACAGCCCGAGTCCGACAGGGCTGCACATGACCTACAGGGCCCTGCGGGTCCTGCCCCACCCGCCTCTCCAGCATCGCCTCCCACGACAGCCCCGGCCCTCCACTCCACACGCCTGCGTGTCCGCCCGCCCGCTTCCAGCCTTGGAAACATGCCGGGCCCTCTGTTCCCTCCGGCCCCAAACCTGCTCACCCCTACCCATCCTTCAGGTTTTGGCTTAAAGAGCACTGCCTCTGCGAACCCGCCACAGTTCCTGAGGCAAGACCAGGTCCCCCGCCCTCGGCTCCCACAGCACTGGTGCTTCTCCTGTGTTAACTGTTGTTGGTTGTTTCCCTCCCTAAACCAAGAGACTACATGCCAAGTTCACTGCAGTATCCTCACCTCTACCACCAGACTTGGTAGGAAGAAAATTCACTGCACAAAAGGACACACGTAAAGCATCAATAGAGTATTAAAAATCAAGAACCTGGACCCAGTGAGGATTCATCTCAGACCCTGTTCCACAGCACCAGTGACCTCCAGGGCTGCCCTCACAACTGCGTCCCGAAACAGCATTCTGGCAGGATGCAGGTGCAGAGTCAGACAAGGAGGACACACCCTTTCCCACCAGCCGGCTGGCACAATCCCAGCCTGGGCTGGATTCCCTGGAAGGCTCGCCAGGGCTCAGGGCACTTCTTAGGAGCACTCAGAACTCAGTAAGCAGAACTCCGCTGGTCTCTGCCCACAGCTCCTCCTCCTGTCTAGACCCCAGGTCCCCAGGGAAGCTGACCAGACAGTCTGCTTTCCAGACTCCTTCAGGCTGCTCTGACATGTCAGACTTCTCTCTAATCTTAAGGACGGATTTACCTGTCACTGCCCCACAGAAGAGTTACCTAGAGCAACTGTTACTACTGTGTCTGGCTCGAGTTACTCCAGAGATCTCTCCAGTCAGCAGTAATTCTTCGCCAAGCCCGGGAGTAACTGCACGGTGCTTGCTCACAGCACAATGCTACAAAAGCACAATGAATGTAACTTACTGCTTAGAGCACAGGACATGGTGAGCTTCCGGAATGCTTCCTAGAAGCCCAAGGAAAGTAGGGTCTGGGGGTGAACGTTTTAAAGGCAACTAAAAGAGATTCTGGGGAAAGGCGGAGACTTTGATCTGTGTCTCCAGGGCACCCACGTTCTGAAACTTTTTCGATTATTAACAATAATTTACTGCACACCTAGCTGCTGAACTAAGTAACGTCCACGCATGATCTGTTTCCCACCAAAATGCATTGTTCATCAGTAATTAAGCTTCACTGATTATGCCTGTAAGACAAACAACTGCCAGTGAGTGGTTCCAGCTCAGCAATATCACCAGGCCTGTAAGAGACTGCTGGAATTACAACCATTACCCATGTGATCTTCCTCAAAGCAAAGAGTAGGTCCTTTGTAAGATTTATGGAGCACCATTAAAGATGATACTGATCACACCGATAAACCAGTTTACAGGCATCATAGAACCCTCACCGCCATGCCGAGAGGCAGGGACTCATTCCTTCCGCTTTACACTGACCTATCCAAAGCCACACACAGCTCAATAAGCTGCACCAGTAGGACCAGAACCCAAAGCTGTCTTGATTCAAAACCTACAAACCTACATTCTTAACTGAACGCTAACACGCCTCTCTCGGAAGCTCTCCAAGCAGCTCGCAGGCCTTCCTTACTCCTTGGGAGGCACCCATGGTGGGGCCGCTGTCAGTGTAGGGAGTGGCCACAGTGTGCAACTCTGGATGAAAACCACTCAGACACCACTAACCAGTCCTTACCGGCATTGGACAACAGGGTCCATAAACTGCCAACAAGGGTTTTCATCCACAGGGTAAATTACCTGGAGGAACTGAGGGCGGGGCTGACGTCCCAAGGCCCTCACTCCTGGCATCCCTGCTGGTGACTGGCATATACGACGGTGGGTTTCTATTGTTTGTTTTACTGGAACGGGGCATGGGGAAAAGGAGAGGAGACAGCCACTCCATGGGCAGGTCTGTTTACGACACCTACTAAACGACTCCTGTTTACCTGCTGCTGCTGGCGCTGGAACCTGGGCGGAAGCGACTTCTGGTACTTGCTGAACTCCTGTGCGGGGGACCCAGGCTCCCTGGCCCGCTCGTCACTGCCACCGCTCTGAGCCACAGCTGGAGGAGCCGTAGGGGCTTCTTCCGAAAACGTGCTGGGGGCTTCCGGGGCAGAGAACTCAGGGGAGCCTACGGAACAAATAAGCAGGGAAATGGCCAAGTGAGCTCACAAAAGCTCAGCCGAGCGATGTCTAGGGCAGACGCTTTTTCTTGTTGGCAGTCCTCAAACCCCGGCACTGTGCTAAATGCTCGCCACGCACAAGCTCGTGGACTCCCACACATCGTCATCGCTCCAGAGACGAGAAAACTAAGGGTCGAGAGATCAGAGGAACCGCCTGAGGTCACACAGTCAGCAGGAGAGCCGGGATGTGGTTCCGGGTGGCAGGGGCTCTGTTAAAACAGACCCCCAGTAAATAAGAGCGGCCGGGGCTCAACGAGAGCCCCACATCCACCCTCCACCCAAGGCTGTGTGAGCCGGCCGGCCAGGCAGCCCCGCTGGCCCGTGTCCTCATCTGTTCAATGAGGGCAACAACTGCACCTACCCCACTGGGCCTCTGGAGAATTAATTCGCTGACACGATCCATGTAATGCACTTAAAATAGCGCCTGACAAGAAGTAAACGCTCACCACAGCCTCCCATATCACTAGTCTCCCTGAAATTCCCTTCTTTCTTGCCCCACCCCAGCTTTGCATTCTTTTTTTTGTCCAGCTTTATTGAGATATAATTGACATTTTGTGCTCTTAAATCTACCGCAGGAGGCAAACAAACGCCAATGCAAAGCCTTGGGGACCGAGCGTCCCAGAGGAACACTGACAGGCAGGGCAGGTGCAGAGGGGCTTGGGGCACAGCCCACACCCAGGCCCAAGCTCGCTCCCCGCCATCTACTTCCTGGACTCTCCCATTGCCCCCCCCTCAGTGAGTCCCTGACACTGGGCCCAGGCTTTACTCAGACTTCAGTGACAGGACATTTATTTACAGGAGGACAAGGGTCGATTTCTCTGAGTTCCTCAGCCAGAAGGGCTCTGATGGCCACCATATCACCAATAAGACCTCCCTCGGAGAAGCTCTCAGCGACTGAAACTAACATCAGGCCCTTCTCTACTTGAGAGTTGGTTTTAGTTGATTCAAGAAAGTCACAAAAAACACAGCTGATCCCATTCTTTAAAACTGCAGCAAGAGACACCCTCCACCACCTAACGCTGTTCACCGTCTCTTGTGCAGCCACGTGATCCACTCCTCTTAGAATAATTGTCAGGGAAAATGTATGCTAACAAGCAGGCAGGCTTCTTTCAATGTCCCGAGAGAGATCCCGTGCTCCTACTGAAGTCCTCCAGCACCCGCGTCTTCAGTCGAGCCGGGTGGTAACACCGGCAATGACAAAACCGGTGGCGTTGCCGTGAGTACGTGAGTGCTTTCTGCATCTAGAAATCGCCAAGTGCTTCGTGCACATGCTCCCCCGTGGCCCCTCAGCATGCGGGGAGGTACAAGCTCTCATCAACCCACTTCACAGACTCGGGAATGCGCGCCAGAGAGGTGAGGTGCCTGGACAGCTGGTTTAAGCGGTAGAAATGGGATGTGAACCCAGGCACCTGGCCCAGGCTGAGACTCTTAACGACCGGGACTCCCACACATCAGCTGTGAGCCACGGTGGTGCTAAAAAGCCAGGGAGACGCAGACAACCAACCAGCGGCACAGCGTAGGGTTTCCAGGTCATGGGACGGGGCCCTACAGCTCACCTCTGCGGACAGCTGGGCCATTCTCCTGTGCGGCGCCTGGAGAGCGGGGCGCCTCCTTCCCCGCCGGCTCCTGGGCCCCACCCGCCTTCTGAGCCCGCCTGCACTTCTGGTCCAGCTGCCTGAGTTTGGCGGCGCAGGCAGCCAACCTCTCCTCCCGGGCCCGGCGCTCCTCCTCTTCCCGGCGCTTTCGGGCTCGCTCCACGGCCTCGGACATCTCCGACTGGACGAACTTCTGCCTCGGGGGTGGCTTGTCCTCTTTGTCCTCGACAGACTGCTGCCGGAACACACTGCCCACGGAGGACTTCTGCCGAGAGGAGACGGTCTCAGATGAAACGCACATCACAACCCGGGCACAGGCGCCCCCAGGATGGGATGGGCTCTCCTTCCCAGGACCCTCACGCACCTTAGAGAGGCAGCGCGGCCCCGCGGCAGGCGGACCTGGGTTTCAATCCTGCTCTGCCCTTTACTACATTTAGAATGAGGCTTGGGTGAGCGCCAACGTTCTACACCTTAGTTTCTCGTTTTGAACAATAATAAAGGAAGCCCTCGGGATTGTGAAGGTACATTGAGTCGTTTGCAAAGCACTCAACGTGGGACTTCCCTGGTGGCGCAGTGGCTGAGAGTCCGCCTGCCAATGCAGGGGACGCGGGTTCGTGCCCCGGTCCGGGAGGATCCCACATGCCGTGGAGCGGCTGGGCCCGTGAGCCGTGGCCGCTGAGCCTGGGCGTCCGGAGCCTGTGCTCCGCGACGGGAGAGGCCACAGCAGTGAGAAAGCACACACTCATCATTTCTTAGCCACAAAACTGCTCCACCGCTTCTCCCACGACAATACACACACCTCTGGATATGAAGAGCCACAAGAAACTGAAATTCACACTCAGACACAAGGTTTCAAAGTGATTCTTTATATATAAAAATAAATAAGCATCTCTAAAAACATCTCTTTTGGATATTTCATCCACTTTTGAATCTCTCGCTCATTGTCAGCTACTGGACAAACAACCAGGGTGCCACCAATGCAGCGTGAAAAACTACCAACACTGGGAAGATTTCTCACTGACCGGCAGGAAGTGAAGCTGCAGGCAGAACGTGCAGCAATAGATGACGGGCGCGTCTAACTGGACCCCAGCCACTGGAAGCCCAAGGAGGTATGACTAGCAAAAAAAATATACAACTTCCTGTTTTGAGTGGTAGTTACACAGATGTATATAATTGTCAAAAAGCCATCAAACATAAAAAAACAAGATCTACGCCTTTCTGTGTACGTTAATTACACCTCCATAAAAGCGATATGTCACACAGTGACTGTAGCCAAGGAGTTTTCTCCTAAAAAGCAACTTCTCATAATCCAGAGACAATTGCTACAATCACGAGATTACAAACTTCTAACTTAGAAGCACGAAGGTACTTTTTACCGAAGTGTGCACTCTTTTCCTTTGCCCTCGACCACTGCCGTCTGTCCGCGCTCCATAATGGCTGTGCCCTGTCTCACCCCACAGCTTATCTATCCCATGACCTACCTCATCCCCTGGTGTTCAAAACATCCTTGCAGATGATCCTTAAGGCATACCCCTGACTATTATTCCCTTCAGAATTTCCCAGAAATGAAATAGCAGAATCAAAGGGTCTAGTCTTGAAGCACATCATCAAGACTACAGATGTGCCTCTCAGAGCTGCCCGAAGATGAGCTATCATTTTATAAACTAAATGTTCTGCAAAATATTTAAACTGTGAAAATCTTTTCAGAAGTTTGGATCCATAAAAGTTACAGAGATTTTATCTTTGTTGACTGTATTCAGATAACTCAGTGTTGCTATGAGCAGACGGAAGTGAAACCTTCTTTTGAGCAACCCCAACATGTGAAGGAAATCTGGATTAACTGCAAAGAAATTTACAAGAGTTGTATTGTATCTATTTTCACTCCTGTCCCCTGTACCCGGCACAGTGCCTAGCATGATACACACTCAGTAAAAAAGACTGAAGACTGTTACTTTATACCGAGATGGGAACAGGAGCCCTTTAAATAGCAAAGTGCATTGAAGATGGCAATTTTGCCAAAGCGTATTTAAATTAACACCTTCTCACCCCCAATTCTGCCCCTCCCGCTCAATTTAGTGCGAAAGTCACGTGAGGCGGCAGAACAAGGCAGGCACCTGGTGCCTGGGAGTCAGAGAGCTCAGGGCAGGTGGTCAGAGCCCAGGGCAGGTGACGAGAGTGTGCACATGGAGATGTGGCTGGTGTGGGAGCTGGGGCCCAACCAAGCAGGGTGAGGAAGAAACCCCTAGAAGAGATGGCCCAGCAGGGAAATTCAGGGCCGTGTGGAGGTGGGGTGCACTGACATCTGCGTGGCTGAGGAGGGCACCTGTGCAAGGGAGAGAGGGTGGGGGCAGAAACAGGGAGCCTGACCGAATAGGTACAAATACTAGGGACAATGGCCAACAGCTAGAATGGCCTGTGTGGAACCTGAGATATCCTTGTGATTCAGGTGTGTGCCACATACCTACGCCTCCTGACTCTGTCCACGGACAAGGTCCAGGAGCAGTGGCACTCTAACAGCAATAGTACTCCTGGTGCCCACATATTAGTTTCTAAATATCATTAAAGGCTGACTCCAGGGCCAAGGTAGGATAAGGACAAAAGGAGCTTAAAAAAACGCTTGTTTTATCAGAAAGCAAGGAATTCCTCAAAAAAAGAATGGAGACGTAAAAAGCACACAGCTGCCAGCTTAAAGAAGCTCCCAAATCAAAGACAACCTGAACATCAAAAGAAACAATGAGAGCAATAGACTATAACCCACTGATATTAATTAATTAAAAATTTGATGAGAAACAGGATATTCGTAGTCTCAGAGTAATTCCCCGCAAAACTGCTATCAATTACAAATCTGGAAGAGTGTGTGAAAGTTCCATGGGGTGAAACTTGGTAGCCACCACCTTAATCAAGAGATCAAAGTGAAGGTTGTCAGAGTGGACAGAGTGGAATCATGGTCACCCAGTAGGATGCCATGAGAAGAGTCAGTGACAGTTCTGAGAGATTCTAGCCAAAAAAATGGAAACCTTGAACCCAATCATGAGGAAGCACCAGACAAACCGGATTTGAAGTGCATTCCACAAAACAGCTGGCTTGTCATCTTCCCAGGTATCAATGTCATGAAGGTTTAGCAAAGGCTGAAAAGCTGCTTCAGACTGAAGGGAACTCAAGAGCAGGCCACCTGAGGCAGCGTGTGACTCTGAACTGGATCCTTCTGTATGAAGAACATTAATGGGACAATGGGTAAAAGTGGGATGGAGTCTGAGGATTAGATGGCAGTGATGTATCAATGCTAATTTCCTGGATTTGACTGTGGTTACCTAGAGCGAATGTCATTTTTTGGTAGGAAACAGATACCAAAGTGTTCTGTGGTGACAGGGGCTGATCAGGCTGGCGACTTACTCTTCAAATGGGTCAGAAAAAATATTCTTTGTATTACACCAACTTTTCTGTAAGTTTGTGACTGTTTTCAAAATTTTAAAAGAAAAATTTTTAATCAAAAAAAAAAATAAAAGAATGTCCACCTAGGTTTTTTCAGAAGCCTTGGATCTCCGGTCAAATGAACTTGAAAGAGGGAGGGGGGGAGAGAGAGAGAGAGAGAGGGAGGGGGA